CAGGTGGGGCAGGGCCAAGCCTGGCCCCGACGCTGCGCAGCTCTTGTGGCCCCTCCAGGCAGTCGCTCATGACGTGCCTGTTTCGCGCTCGCCTTCGGTCCCGCCCGGTTGCCACCAGCGAGCCGGCCACGCGGGATGCAGGTCTCCCATAGGAGCCTCCGGAGCCACTCTGCGCCGCCCGGCCCGCAGCCGGCAGCTCCTGCGGCAGCAGGTTCCTCCAGGAGAGGCCTCGATGGCCTGCGGAAGCCCCCTCCCGTTCCCTTGGGATGACTGACGAGCCGCGAGTCCGCCGCGGGGGCGCTCTCTGCGCTGGCGGGACCTCGTGTCACACGCCCCGACCGCAGGGCACGTGTGTCTCTTCCCTCCTCCGCACGCGGCTCCCTCCACCTAGGGGACTCCCGCGTGGGTTCCTCCTCTCCTTTGTTGGACCCTCTCCCTCTGTCCCACCAAAAGTTGGCGCGAACCCCGGCCCAGGTCCTGGATATGCTTTCTTGAGTGTTCTAAAAAGGCTCCTTGACTGAACTGAGCGATGGCCGACAGGCTCAGCTTGCCGGCATAACTGTCTGGATTTTTCTTTTCCCTTTTCAGCCTATTGTATTTATTTTCAATTTAGCATAACCGTCTTTGAACTCCGGGTTCATCTGCGTGCCCATTACCTCTCTGGGCCCCCTGTGCCCAGCAAGGGACACCTACATGGAAGGACTTGGGAGCTTGGAGGATGTAACACGTGCTGGCTGGTGTCCCCTCAGACGGGATCGTGGCAGACACCACCTAATAATCTGTCCTCTCTGCCAGCCTGGTCCATGGTGCTTAGACCAAAAACCTGGAACTCGGCTGTGACTCTTCCTTCAGGAACACCTGAACCACATTCAGATGACAAGAGCCCTGTTAGTCTTGGCTCCAGAAAGATACCTAAATCCAATCATTTCTGACCCTGTCCACTGCTAACAGCCTACTCCTATTAACTTCCTATGATTGCTGTGACAAATCACGAATTTGGTGGCTAAAGACAGCAGGAATTCTCTCACGATTCTGGAGATCGGGAGCCAGCATCTCGGTGTTGGTAGGGCCACATCCTGATATGGGATGCGAGACAGTCCCTTCTTTTCCGCTTCTGGCTTCCCGGAGTGGCCAGCATTCCCAGCTGTCTCCGGGTCACAGTTCTTCCACTTCTGTATCGGGCCTCCCTCTGCTTCTCTCTCACAAAGATGCTTCTAAGTGCATGAAGTCCACCCAAACTGGGGCCAGCAGATGGCTTACTGGCTATGTTGCTGGACTCCCACGTAGTCCACCGGGTAAAACTCACACCAGGTGCCTTATGTGAGCGTGCCCCAAATCCCAAGAGAATGGAGGGGAAGGAATTGCGGCGTGGCCACTCCCCCCCAGGGGTGATTTCTTGCCTTCTGTCTCTCCATGGGAGCTCGTGTGCTATATAGCAAAAATCTCTGAACAAACATACAAAAAAAGTCCACCCAAACAACCCCCATCTCAGTATCTTAAAACAAGTGTATCTGCAAAGTGTCTGTCTCTTGGTGAGTTCCAGGGATTCAGGTATAGGTGTCTTTTCTGGGCTGTTTTTTAGCCTCTCAAATCACATCATCTCTCACTTGGCCACACCAGCTCATTGGATCCACCCTGCCACTCTCACCCTCACAAAGCAGGGAACAGACCTCGAGGAGCCAATCTGCATAAAACCTCTCCCTCCAGCTGAGCCTGTCCAGTCTGCAGCTGGCGGGCAATGCTGATGCTGTTTATGTAAAACTCCCAGCTGGGCAGGGGAGGTGGCGGTGAGGGCGTGGTACTTGCCTTCCTAACATTTATCTGTGTGGATTCTATGGCACCCTAGCCCCCTTCTCGTCACCTGTCGTGACATTCGGCATAGCCAGATCTAACCATGCTGCGCACGCTCTGGTACTCTGTCTTTCTACAAAAACAGAAATCATCGTCCACTCCCCTGGCCCAAGGAGGAGAACCCAATTGCTATGGCGTTTGATCAGGCCCTGGGCCTGAAACCCAACGCTCGCGGGTCGGCAGAGGGAGGGGCGCTCTTCTGCGATTTGGAAGGTCGGTTTGGCGACCCGCGGCCGGCCTTACCCCGCCCGGCCCTGTCATTTGCATGAGTCCCCTTGCCCGCCCCGTCCGACCG